CAATTTAATTTTCTCTGTATTTTATTATTTTATTTTATTTCCGCTTTTAAGCTATTTCTTTCGGATAATAAATTAATATTACTTGTACAAGGGCATAGCTTATTTTAATCAGATTTTATTTATTTTTCAGTAGACCCGCAGTATGTAAAAGATTTTATCGACTTTTTTTCTTAATTTTCATTTTTATAGCGTTCTTGAAATAACGAATCGAGTAGGTATTAAATTTTTTTACTTTGCTCCATTACGTTAAAGTATTTCATTTAGTTTCTTAGGTTTTCACGCACATCACTCATTAAATAAAACTAGTTTTTTACGGGTTAATGCACGAAACTTTATTTATTTATTGACGTTTCGTACAGGCTACGTCGTCGGAATCAAATAAAATTTACCCGTAGCCTGCCTGCCGTATATATTCCATTTAGTTTTTTAATTTCCTATTTTGATCCATATTTGTTAAAGTATTAACATTGTTGTCAACAAATATTGAAAATTTAACATTTTTTAACAATTCAACCTATGTTTAAGCTTTAGAATGATCACAAAACTTTATGAAATAACACGTTAGGAATACTATAACAAGAGACATTATACGTAGCTATTTTAAACAATGGTTCAGCGAAAATTAACTTACAGACGCAATAATTGTAAGCAGTCTGCAACCCAGACGAAACTTGACAGCAAGATTCCTGTGCGCCTCAGATATCTCTAATTTGAAGAGAAATCTGGAATCGAATACGATACAATGCCTTTAGCTAAATCAAGCTAGACACTTGTATAGTTAATTTACATTTAAATTTGAAGTAAACTTTGAAACTGAGCTTGCCGAAGTCCTAGATACGATACTTAGACATTATACAGGGTGTAAACAAACCTATGACAAAGACTTAAACTACGCATTCTGTACACCCAAACAAGTCATATTACAAAATATTATACGTGGGAAAAAATTGTATTGTATTTTAATATTTGTTTCTTAGGTTTTCACGCACATCACTCATTAAATAAAACTAGTTTTTTACGGGTTAATGCACGAAACTTTATTTATTTATTGACGTTTCGTAGCCTTTACAGGCTACGTCGTCAGAATCGACGACAACAAGACGACGTAGCCTGTAAAGGCAACGAAACGTCAATAAATAAATAAAGTTTCGTGCATTAACCCGTAAAAAACTAGTTTTATTTAATGAGTGATGTGCGTGAAAACACTACTACACTTAAAAATACTACTAGTTTTTTACGGGTTAATGCACGAAACTTTATTTATTTATTGACGTTTCGTAGCCTTTACAGGCTACGTCGTCAGAATCGACGACGACAAGACGACGTAGCCTGTAAAGGCAACGAAACGTCAATAAATAAATAAAGTTTCGTGCATTAACCCGTAAAAAACTAGTAGTATTTTTAAGTTAAAAAAATACTTTTTTTTTATTTAATTTTTCGAGCTACCTTCGAAAGATAGTAAATTTTTGGTCACCCATCCAATGACCGACCACTGCGAAAGATGCTTAACTTCAAAGATCGCAGCCGAACGCGATAACCACTTGCGAAATCGAGCTTCTCAGCGAGCGAGGTACATACCATTATTTCATACTTAATATTGATGTAAATCATCATTGACACAGATCTTCTTACACAAAACAAGACTAATTGCAAACTATGCCAATTAAAATACTTAACGCCACACGTTACGTAAAAGGAATCTATAGATTACTAGCTGACCCAGCGAACTTCGTACCGCCATAAAAAAATAGGGGTTGGTGGTAGAAATTTGAAAATTTAGGGATGTAGGTATTTTTGTATGATGTATCATAAAAAAATTAAAATAAAAAAAAAATGGTTGCCTGTAAAGTCGGTTTTACGGGCGAAGATTTTACGTGACAACGTCTTTTTCTCGGTAGAATATTTATTGATATGAATATAATTAAATTGCACAATAGGAACAAGGAATTGAATGAAAATAAGAATTGCACAAATTTTAACTATAGAAATATATTTTGTTTACTAAAACATTGTACATGTAAACTTAAACTTAACACGAGAGACTCATCGTAACGTTACCGAGCGTTACACTTTTTCATAAGTGACTCCCAGCCGCAACCTAATTTAAGACGTTGTCACGTCAAAAAATATATCTAAAATTGAAAAAAAATACCCTTAACATTTAGGGGGATGAAAAATAGATTACATCCGATTCTCAGACCTACTGAATATGCATATAAAATTTCACGAAAATCGGTTGAGCCGTTTCGGAGGAGTTTAACCACAAACACCGCGACACGAGAATTTTATATATTAGATGTGCTTGAACATCATACCTCCAAGTTGTCACAAGTTCTGAACATCACTTAGGAATAGGCCCAACGCAGACAGTTGCAAAACGTATTTTCGAAGCATAAGTATTAAGAGCCCTTTCACATTCGAAGCATAAATATTAGGAGCCCTATCACACACACATCACTTCAATTTAATAATACAAAAAGGAGTTTCCACAGCTTCTGGCTAAAATTCAAATTCCGCATGCTTCTAAACTACCAAAAATCATAAAATATATATATGTATATATATATTTAACTTCTCTTAAACGACTGGACCGATTTTGATGAAATTTTTTGTGTGTGTTCAAGGGGATCTGAGAATGGTTTAATTCACAATTTTGTCCGCTGGACAATGTTTTTTTAATTCATTTTTAATTTGTTAGTAGTTGTTCATTTTAGAATGTTTTACATTGGATCCGACAGACGGCGCTACCATCGCAGTGTCAAATCTTTATATATATAATTCTTCTGTGAGTGTGTATGTCACTGAACTTCTCTTAAACAACTGGACCGATTTTGATGAAATTTTTTGTGTGTGTTCAAGGGGATCTGAGAATGGTCATTTTCATCAAAATGGTCCAGAATGTTTTAGCTTATTAAAAAAAGTTTAAAATTTTCAAATTAAAGACGTGTAGACAGGACAACGTCTGTCGGGTCCGCTAGTATAATATATGTTCTCTTGAGTACTAAAAATCTGAGTCGCTCGGTTTCCACAAAATATGAAGTGCAGTGCAGTCTACTTCAATGGCTAAGTATTTGAATCTGATCAATCTTTTAAAGGCTGAATCGTTAGTTAACTGCATCTAGAGCTAATCTAAAGCGTTCGGTAATTCCCCTCAGTACCCTTAGCACGAACCACTATCCAATTCGAATAGTTTGCGAGTCCGAAATGTCAATATCAAATTTTATATGGAAACTTGAACTGCAACGGCACATAGTACGTAACGCTAACTAATAATCAGTACCCCTAGCATGAACCAATATCGAATTCGTATCGTTTGCGAGTCCGAAATGTCATTGTCAAATGTGTTACGTACTTTGTGCCGCAGCTGTTCAAGTTTCCATACAAAATTTGACATTGACATTTCGCACTTGCAAACTATTAGAATTCGTTAATGGTTTGTGCTAGGGGTACAGCACACATTCGACAATGACATTTCGGGCTCGCAAACGTTACGAATTCGAAATTGGTTCGTGCTAAGGGTACAGATCAGTCCGATGTAAATCTATATAGGAGTATTTAGACCGACGAGGAAGATTACTTTGTAATGTGTCATGTTGTAAGGTTTGTTTCTGTTTGAGGTAAGAAATTAAGCTACATTTGGTCGGACCGTTCGCTACCGCAAAGATTTGCAATTTGATTTGCAATTCGCTCAGATTAATCTGTGATCACGTGACCAAAAATCCGCCGCCTCTGCGATATAAATACCAAACGCAGCTAATCTACATCTGTAACTAGACTGAATAAAAGTTTACTAGAAAAAAAAATCCACTCGGACCAGGCAGCGGACGGGACTCGAACCCGAATCCTTCGCTATCCGGGCGAATGCACTGACCATTATGCTACCACGGCCCTATTAGCCGCGTCGAAATTTTCCTAGCCTTAAGCTGCAAGGCAGCGCCATCTCTTCGCATTGTAGGAAGAGATGGCGCGAGTCCCGTCCGCTGCCTGGTCCGCGTGGATTTTTTTTTTCTAGTAAACTTTTCTTTAGATTTAAACATCTAGCAGTTAAATGCTTAAAAAATAAATAAAATCATAGACTGAATAATTTATTTTGAATTAGAATTTGAAGATGTATAGTATGTGGAAGACCTTAGAGCTCGTTCCCACTTGTCGGGTGTCGGATCCGTATATTAATCGGAAGTTCCAGTGGCAGAGCATTATACTCGTATATAAAGCTATTCACACTTATCGGAAACCGATTTTGTGTCGGCTCCGACAAGAAGTGTCGGGTGTGTAAGTGCATATTATATATTTTTAAGGTATTTGACATACAGTTTTATATACAAGATACATAAAGGGTTTGGCTTTGAATTTACAATGTATGATTTATTTTCTTGTTTATTATGTTATTTTTTTTTGTTGTTTTTATTTCTAGTAAAGGGGGGAATACTGTAGGTGCATACTATGTAATAATGCAATAATAATATTAATAATAAAAATCCGCAAACAGACAAATTAATGAGGTCACGATATATTAAGTTGGCATGTTATATTACGCAATTATAGTTTACTTTTAATTTACATTATAATAATAAAAACACTCTCTGTTCAACCTTGTTTCAATTACCATCTCCGATCTTAACTTCATCACCTGGTAATCACCACAGGTGTTTTGCCAGCCCTCTAAAAATCTACGCCCGGAAAAAAATCGTGTCAGAACTCGCTCGCCTATGATTAAGAATGGCGCTGTTCATATTTGACTGGTGTCGGGGCTGACTATCCTCCCCCGCTACCCCTTGTTCCGTCCGTAACGCAACCCTTTTTCAGTACAAATGCAGTCTCCAAGCCCTGTATTTTGGTAGTTTATGTTCACTAATAAACATCAGTAGATCGTTGAATGTTGATATTGACGTCCTAAAATAAATTGAAACACTTAATTTCGCCACTTCTCAATTCTGTTATTAAGTTCTGAAATTTACCCAAAATCGAATCTTTCCCTCAGGAATATGTGCACCCAATATTTACTTTCCATGGCTGTCTTTCTTTGTTTTCTTAAACAATAATAGGATCATTACAACAAGAACTTCGTCAACGTCCATCGTGAACAGTCGCCTCTCGCCTCGCGTAGAGCGCACGTCCATCGTGAACAGTCGCCTCTCGCCTCGCGTAGAGTGCACGTCCATCGTGAACAGTCGCCTCTCGCCTCGCGTAGAGTGCACGTCCATCGCGAACAGTCGCCTCTCGCCTCGCGTAGAGTGCACGTCCATCGTGAACAGTCGCCTCTCGCCTCGCGTAGAGTGCACGTCCATCGTGAACAGTCGCCTCTCGCCTCGCGTAGAGTGCACGTCCATCGTGAACAGTCGCCTCTCGCCTCGCGTAGAGTGCACGTCCATCGTGAACAGTCGCCTCTCGCCTCGCGTAGAGTGCACGTCCATCGTGAACAGTCGCCTCGCGTAGTGCCTAAAATTGGTTAATGCTTCAACCGTGACCGACAACCGATTTTATTAATCGTGTGTGTGAACAAAGGCACCGACATCCGATTAATATACGGATCCGACACAGGACAAGTGGGAACCAGCTCTTAGTATCACCTAGCTGTTGATAATGGATAGTTAGGATCATTAGCCGGCGGATGATGGAGTGCTACCTGTCTGTGCAGCCGTTATCCGCAGCTACCGGTTAAATACCACAAGCTTTCATAACACCACAACTGTCAGTTATCATGATAAACGCTGGCATGCGCTTGCGCATGTCTACCAGCCAAGGCAAGGGGGCAACATTAATACACTGCAAAGCCCTGAGGTGTTTGCAGTGTATTAAAGTACATACCGCAATGAAAATTGGCACTTGTAAAGGTTTTGTTTATATATTTTTTGGAGTTTACTCCTTAAGAATCGATTTGCATATATAAGGGGCCCGGTATGATAAAAATGCGAGGAGTAAAATCTATCGATGAATGACATTAATGACCTCGTTACGTTTTTGTGCGCAACCTCATCTGCGCACCTTTCACTTTTAGCCATGGCAACGGATAAATAAGTTGTCACAAATGTCAATAAAATAAATAAACTAAAAATAGATAAAATCGGAGCAAAATTAATAAAAACAAATAAATAACAGAATATAGAGAAATGCCGGTAAGTGTCCAGCACTCTGGAATAGTGATTTTCAGTATAGATGGAATTATAATACATATTTACAAAATGATGACTAGTGTGTGATATTTTTGAAATTGTGTGTTTCCAGAAATACATAATAAAATATATGATGAATATCGCTGATGTTAGATGATAAAATGTGTGACATGGAACGTATGATAGTCGAAACCATGGGACGATTCCTGAGGTATCTCTACTTGTAACCGACTTCTTCGGACTTGATTTTGTTTTGTGTCTTTTCAAAGACAATCGTTTTTAGAGTGTAAACTCCGGTCGTGCGTCGGAGCTGACACACACATTTTTTTAATTAATGTAATGCCTTCTGTTTAAAATTTTTCGTAGCAAAGGACATTGGGCAAAAATGTATGGACGCTACACCCACGTCCGCCACGGCTTAAACTACATTTGCTTGAAAGGTGTTATAGTCATGATCATCTGTGCCAAAGCGCATCAAATTCCATCCCGGGGGTCTTTAGTTATTTTAAGTTAAATAGGTACAAGTACTATAAAGAACGAACACTAATGAAACTAGGGAATTAATTTAGTTAGTTCGACCCTACATAGGGGGCTCAGGTATTATGGGAGTACTTCGCAAGGTGCTTATGTTATTCTGCCGCACTAGAGTAAATCCGGAAATCCCTCTTGGGTTGGGTTTTTTCATACATTCTGTTTGTTATAGTAAATTGTCTTCTATGTAAAACGGAGCGACCACAAATTACACAAAATTGTCTACGCTTCGAAGAAAACATGATTCTAGTTCATCCATACTAATTGACAAAACCGATAATCACACTATCTGACCGTCTAATATTTCTCTGGTCTGCAGTCATCTATACCATCTGATATAGTTATTTCTAACTAATTAAGTGTATGTATATTTTTATAGGAGGAGCTCGATGGCGCAGGTGGTTAGCGCGTTCGGCTGCGATCGTTGAAGTTAAGCAACTTTCGCAGTGGTCGGTCATTGGATGGGTGGCCAAATATTTTCTATCTCGAGTTCCTCCGTGCTTCGGAAGGCACGTTAAGCCGTTGGTCCCGGCTGCATCTGCAGTCGTTAGCACCCGCCAATCCGCACTGGGCCCGCGTGGTGGGTCATGGCCCAATCTCCCTATTCCATCCGTAGGGAAGGCTGTGCCCCAGCAGTGGGGACATTAATAGGCTGATGATGATGATGATGATATTTTTATATATGTATGTTTATTAATTTATATATATGTGTATTTGTATTTATATATATATAGGGATATTTTATTATTAGATATAATATATATTTATCGTTTATAGTATAGTATAGTTCTGTAGGATAATATTATTATTATTATTTTTCTCTAACTTTAGTAGCTCGCACTCTATCGCCAAAACATCCGTCTCATACACCCATACTGGTTGACTGGTAGAGAATGCCTATTGCATTAAGTCCGCCATTTACTGCTTTTGGTAATAAAGAATAAATAAATAAATAAAATAATCGTGTTCCAAAGTCCAAAAAGTGTTAGAGAAAAATCAATTAAGTGACAGGGAGAGCACAATCACAACGAAGTAAGACGAGTCGACTATTTGCAACTGCAAGTCCTTCAACACCCGTAAACCGTTTTGAGGTGTCTCAGTAAATGCAAGCGTAGGATGGTCGGCAGACTTTGTCGAATATCTGGTTGTATAGTACGATATGGCATATTATTATGGTTACTAATAATATAAAATGAAGGTACTATAAAATGAGTTAATTTAGCTACTTAAATATGCCCATGTGTCATATTTTTTGACTACCAGGATATTTTTTACGGTGTCATATCTTTTTTACTACCAGGATATTTTTTTTCGGTGTCATAATAAAAAAGGCTAGTTTTTCATAGATCTATCGATTCATACTAATTGCATTGTTGGCGGAGCTGGGTGTGTTTTGCCCATTGTCCTTTACCAACTCCTTGCTGCTGCAAAGTCAGGAAGAGCTTTCAAAAGTTTTCTCTCGCTTCCGATCCAACAAATCATACAACATGTTTGAAACATTATTGAATTATACGAAGGCACTTGTTTACGATCTATAACTAAACCGTTATATTACATTAACCCTGTTGAATTAATTCAACGAATTTAAGTTCGTCAAAGAGATAATGAATAGTGTATGGTGAGAGACATGAGTAGGTATTTGCATGCCATTATAAATGAGCAAATATAATGAGCACGAATATTTGAATCGATCAGTTATGTGTGTCCGAATTTGTATAATGCATACTTAATATTATGCTTAACCTGTAACCATACAATACCGTTACATAAATTACATAAACTAGCAAACCAGTGAACCAAATGTTCACCAAAACCTGATTTAAAAAAAAATGTATTTAATTAATTGAGAACTTTTTGATTTTGTGTGGTTCCGTTTGAAATTCGTGATTTCTCGAAAACCGGAAGTGCTACGTAACTCAAATCCGGTTTGTAGTCTTATCAGACTATTCTTAACTTATAACTTTAATATTCTCTTTATCTATCTCTTACGGTTTGGCCGCTGAAACAGCACCACAGACGGACGGACTTGTCTAATACATACGAGATTGACGTTTCGCAGCCTTTTCAGGTCTGCATCGTCAGAATAATGACCTAAAACTCGCGTTGCTCGATTTATACTAATTTTGATTCGACATAATAATTGCGTGTACAACGCCGCTAAAGAAGTTTTCACTTCAAAAAACTTTATACATTAGGTAGTTTTTAAGTTGTTGTTTTTAATTTTCTATATATTGTTGTACTTTATATAAAAAAAATGGGTGCGTGTACTTATGTAGGCGCGTGAGAAGTTATCCTTCTTTGGCATCGTTTAAAATTAGTTTTTAATTGCATGCAAATAATTAATTACAATAAATTAATAAAAAGTCTGGAAAAGGACACAGTCAATAAAGTTCAGTTTTAATTTGAAAAAATAAATAAATAATCAAAATATTCAATTAAAATCGCTACTAAATATAATTTATTAGAACATATGTGATTTGCACTTGTATGAAACTCAAACACGTATTCCGAATATACAAACTAGAAACATGTGGATAAATATTATAAATATGAATACCTATAACTGTTACTTTATTACAAAAAATAAAGATGTGGTTTTTGGTTCTACTACACCAATGGTCAAGAGATGGCGCTGTAGTCTCCTGAATCGCGCTTTGGTTCCGTTGTTCCAGATTAATAAATACTTTTGATAGGCCTTCACAATGCAGTCGTTAGCACCCACTAAATAGAGATTCTATTTCTATTTTGTTGGTAGATTTTCTTAATGTGCGGTAAACACAAAATTAAACACAAAATTATTTTTTTGTGTTACAGTGATGCGCGCGCATCTTAAAATTTCACTCTCATCATTTTTTCATAACGCGCCTAAAGAAGTAGAACTTCAATAACCACGAATTGTATCAATATTACTTTTTCAATCCCGACGACGCATTCCTGCGAAGGATGCGAAAACGTCAATAAATAAATAAAATCAGTGCATCTAACCCGTTGAAACTTGTTTTATTTAATGACTAGTGGCCCTCCCTCGCTTCGCTTCGGGGTAGAATTGATCAAAATCCTTTCTTAGCGGATGCCTACGTCATAACATCTACCTGCATGCCAAATTTCAGCCCGATCCGTCCAGTGGTTTGGGCTGTGCGTTGATAGATCACTATATCAGTCAGTCACCTTTGAGTTTTATATATATAGATTGATGTGCGTGAAAACCTAATTATATTTCAATATAGTCAGTGTCATAATAAATAAATAAATATTTCAAACACTCACACCAATTAGCCTAGCCCCAAAGTAAGCACTATAAGGCTTGTGTTATGGGATGCTGGGATAACGGATAGAATACATACACTGTGCATATATAAGTGTATTTTTTATAGAAATACATATTAAACATCCATGACTGGAGTACAAATGCTCGTATTCATCACACAAACATCTGCCCCCACCGGGATTTGAACCCGGGACCTCACGAGTCGGCGACACCATGAAACCCGGCGTATAAACCACTCGGCCACGGAGGTCGTCATAATTGAAAAAAAAAGTAAATTAATTTTTATATTGGCTTTTCTATCGCATCAGGAACTCTAACCACGCAAAGGATTAATCTATATATATAAAACTCAAAGGTGACTGACTGACTGACATAGTGATCTATCAACGCACAGCCCAAACCACTGGACGGATCGGGCTGAAATTTGGCATGCAGGTAGATGTTATGACGTAGGCATCCG